GGTGACTACTGTACTGTTACGGCTAGCAAGTTCGGTGTTTAAACTATTACGGAAATGAGTTTGATAGTTTAAAGTATTAGTGGTTGAGTCTCGAGGTTTAAAGTGCACATTTTTGCCAACTTCATGATTAAAAATGCAATTTTCCCTACTATATTCCTTGTTATAATTATATATACCAAATATTGAATTAGAATTGAGTAAAAATAAATTTTTATCATTTTAACTATCTAAATATACATATGAAAAGAAAAAGATACATAGGGAAAGAAGAGCACATATAAAATGAATAAAGAATAGCTAAATTATGTTATGATCCAAATATTTATATTATCTTATATGTTGGGCTACCATAAAAACAAATTATTAATAATAGGTAAAGAAATTATTAACTATTCGTATCATCACTTGACTTTTTATTTTCTATACTAATTTCAATTTCTGTAAGTGAAAAGATATTTTGTTCAAGAAGTCAGTAATAAAACTAAAATGTACAGAATTTTATAATTAATTAAATATATATTCTAACTAACTATCTCTTATATATATTAAAAGAAAATATTATAACATTTGAGGCATGACACATGTCATCATGAGAATGATTTTTGAGAGTCTTTAGAAAAATAAGTTGGTTTGTCTAAATATAAATTATAAATTCTTGAGGCAATCAAGAACAAATGACTGAATAGAATGCGTAGATAATAAATTGGGGTTCCAGTACAAAGCTATGGAAGAAGTTTTAATCTTCTCTCCAAAAGAATATGAAACTGTGGAAAAACAAAAGTGCAGTTCTCTGCCTAACAATGGCAGAAACATTTATAAACTAGGTAAAAACTTGTCAAGTAAAATCTTTTAATTATGTGTAGATTTTGGGTTTTAAGTCGTTTCTGAACAAAGTCGTGTTTGCGCGCCGCGCCATCGATCGATGCCAAGGTGGCTCTGTCGATCAATGCTGATCTTATATGTCAATTCTTACTTAGTCGATTCTTGTCAGCGACAGATTTCTTCATCTAAACTGCACCATGTACTCCACATAACTCCAAAACGTATATGGACATGTAAATACTCTAAAACATAGCATAGACACACCTAATAGACTCCAAAAGGGACTAATAACATGGTTTAAAACTAGTAAATAATAAGATGTATCAGTAGACATGTTGGTTTGATCAGTCTCATGAGTTGTAAAGTCAATTGAGGTTTTATCGCCTTGGGTGGCCATGAAGGCTGCCCTTCGCATGGTGACAGCATTGACCCGGGGAGAAGATTCTACTATTGTTTCTTCTCGTTTCCTCTGAGCGAGATTCATATTTGGTTTTTCCATTCCTCTGACCAAGATTATTCTTTTCAAGGTTGGATTCGAGGTCGAGGCGGGGGCAGTGAGAGCATCTGCCAAGGTGTTTTTCGTTAGGAATACTGGTTAGTTTGCTATCTCACGCAAAACTGTAAGGTGAGCTTCTACCCTTTCATGTTTTGCTTCGTATTTTCCATGAAATTGGGCTGCTGATAGTTGCAAGCCACTGAAGGTGCTGATTTTCTGGGCCCTAAGGCTAAGTGTAAGGCGAAGGCATGCGATCAAGGATTCTTACTCTGCTTCGTTGTTCATTTTGTTTTTTTTCTACTTTGAAAGTTCATTTTGTGTAAATAAACTAAAAAAACTATCCTATAAAATTTATCATTTAAATGTAACAGTAGAATTATATGTAAATTATATAGTATAATTAATAATATATATATATATATATTATTGATCTGATGTTCATATTTAAAATGCTGACTTTATTAGTTTAATATTTTGATTTAAGTTAAAAGTTATTTTCCTTTTTATCAAATTAAATAAAACATAACTTTTATATATGTGTAATAATATTTAGTTATTTAATAATATTATTATATTATTAATTTTCTTATTTTGAGTTTATAAAAATATAATATTTATTAATTTAATATGTTTATTAATTATTTTAAATACTAAAATAAAGGAGGATTTTTATAAAAAGAAATGGAATATCTTCATGTTTTAGTAAAGTGGACATCTAAAATTTATGAATTTTAAAAGATGAATATTATATGATTTTTGGTATAAAACCGAAAATCAATGGTATATAAACCGAACCAACTAAAAATAAAGTATAAAGTTATAATAAGGTAGGTCTTTTTCATAAAGTGAAATACCAATTCGAACCGAAATGTGGATTAAACATGCCTAGTTGTTATGGTTATATAATCTAAATTCTCTATAATAGAATGTCATTTTCATACCAAAATAAAAAATGGTGATGGTATGAAGCTTGTAAAAAGGGCTTGGGTGGTATCTTGCTAGTATTAAATTACATAGGAATATCCCACATCCTCTCTGACTCGGACTTTTGATTTGTCTCTGTTTCCTTCTTCATCAATTTTCCTTGAGAACTTTCGCAGGTATGAACAACAACAACAACAACTCAGATCCGAAAATATCTCATCTTCAAAAATTCTACCACGTTTCTTCTTTTCTCTCCCTCTCTCATCGCTTTTTTTCTTCTTCTTCTTACTGACCAAGTCTTCTCCACCTTTGATTCTCTCTGATATCAACTTTTTCAAATTCGTATCAAAACCTAAACTTACTTTCGGACACAACAATGTTCATCTATAGATCCCCAGTTTTTGCTTAGATCTAAAAACTCTCACTTGTTCTGCGTCTGATCGCAGGATTTTGAGTTTCAAATCTGATATTGAAAGTTGCATCGTAGAAGAAACGAAATCGGTTCCTGATCTGGAATCATGGGCTGCGTTTCCTCAAAAGGAGTGCGAACTAACGACGATTTCATCGACACCAACCACGTGAGCCTTCCAAAACCCTCCAAGAAACAATCCTCTTCTTCTTCTTCCAGAAACAACGAGCATCTCGATTCAGAGGAAACCAGCGTCAATGGAAACAACGAAGCTACATTGAGGCTAATTCCTAGCGATACCAATCGTGTCTTTTCCGATGAAGAGGAGGAGGAGGAGGAGGAGAAGACAAGTTTTCAGATGAAATCTCTTGAGACAGTGTCTCAAAAAGACATCACTGTGGAGGTGCTTGATAATGTAGGACCATTGCAGCCAAGAGTGAGTAGAATTGCTAATGGAGACAGAACAGCTAAGGTTATTGCTGGCTGGCCTTCTTGGTTGGTTTCTGTTGCTGGTGAAGCTCTCAATGGATGGCTTCCTCGTAGTGCAGACTCCTTTGAGAAGTTAGAGATGGTGAGAGAAACCAAGTTTCAATCTTTGCTTTTTGAATCTCTTAAATTGATAATGTAATGTTTGCAGATTGGGCAAGGGACGTATAGCAATGTGTACAGGGCCCGTGATCTCGAAACGAACCAGATCGTTGCGTTGAAGAAGGTTCGGTTTGCTAACATGGATCCTGAGAGTGTGAGGTTCATGGCCAGAGAGATCATCATACTCCGTAGGCTTAACCATCCAAACGTTATGAAACTGCAAGGGCTTATCATTTCAAAGGCTTCAGGAAGTATGTATCTTGTATTTGAATATATGGACCATGATCTTACTGGCCTTGCTTCAACCCCTGGGATTAAGTTCTCTCAGGCACAGGTCAACCTACAACCTTCTCAAGTTTGTTTTAAAGTGATTATAATCACTTTTGTAACATTCTGATATGCTTTTTTTTTTCTTTGCTAGATTAAATGCTATATGAAGCAGTTGCTGCTTGGTTTAGAACATTGCCATAGCTGTGGTGTGTTACACCGTGACATCAAGGGATCGAATCTTCTGCTAGATCGTAACAATAATCTCAAGATTGCTGATTTTGGTCTTTCTACTTTTTACCGGGGACAACGGAAACAGCCTCTCACTAGCCGTGTTGTGACCTTGTGGTACCGCCCACCTGAGCTTCTCCTCGGTTCCACAGACTATGGAGTCACGGCTGATCTGTGGAGCACGGGATGTATACTTGCTGAGCTCTTTACTGGAAAGCCACTTCTTCCCGGAAGAACCGAGGTGTTGTTTCCACTATGAACCGATTAAATATTGTGTCAGAGCAGAAAATGGATATTAATAATGGAGCATTTCGTTTGTTTCTTGGATGAATAGGTTGAACAAATGCACAAGATCTTTAAACTCTGTGGATCACCTTCTGAGGAGTATTGGAGAAGATCAAGATTGCGGCATGCAACCATCTTTAAACCTCAACATCAGTACAAGCGATGTTTAGGTGATACGTATAAGGATCTTATCCCTCATTCAGCTTTGGCTCTCCTTGATGTTCTTCTAGCTGTAGAGCCAGAAGCACGTGGAACCACATCTTCTGCCCTTCAAAGCGAGGTTATAGCTTATGAACTGTTCTAGATTCAGACATTTGGTGACATTGTGTCTTACACATTCCTTTTTTTCTCAGTTCTTTACGACAAAACCTTATCCAAGCGAGCCATCAAGCTTACCGAGATATCAGCCAAGGAAAGAGTTTGATATCAAGCTTCGAGAAGAGGAAGCAAGGCGGTAAGATTCAGATCTTCTGACCCTTTTCTCTCTACCATCCTTAAGTTTATCTTAGTATCATATCTAGTAAACACTTACGCATTTCAAATTTTCTCATGGGCAGAAGGAAAGGTGCGAGCAGTAAACAGAATGAGCCGAGACAGTTGTCAAAAGAATCAAGAGCTGTACCTGCTCCTGGTGCCAATGCAGAGTTACTGGCATCAATACAGGTAACTTCCGAGACTATAGATGCATACATGTGTGTGTATGATAACCCAATGCTTCTATCTTATTGCTTGGATTGTTTTTTTTGTTCTCTCAATTTTACAGAAACGTCTAGGGGAGACTAACCAGACAAGCGTGAGTGAGACGTTTAATCCTGAGGGAGATTCTGGCTCTGGCTTCCGGATCGAGCCACACAATCCCTACACAAATGGTGACAGTCATCCTAATCTTAGAACACAAAGGTCTTATGTCCAACGTGGGGGAGCTGCCCAATTGTCAAGATTCTCAAACTCAGTAGCATCTAATAGAGATAGCTCACAGTTTGGAAGTATGAGAGACGCCTTAGTGAATCAACACTGGCTTGAAGATGGTTCTGGGAATTGCAATTTGTCCCAAAGATTGCTTGAGAAACCCAATGGTCTGAGGAAAGGTGACCCTTCATCCTCTAGCAAAGGACCACTAAGGGTAATAAGAAACGAGACCCACGTGTTTAACACTGTTGTTGTTTGTTAGTTCCTCGTGTTCTGATATCTGTTGCTGATCACAATATGGTGGAAAACATAGGGTCATGATGGAGAGAAGAGAGAGAGGATTCATTACTCGGGACCATTGATGTCAGGAGAAGGAAACTTGGATGAAATGTTGAAAGAACATGAAAGGCAGATCTTACTGGCTGTACGTCGAGCTCAAGCTGATAAAGCTAAGCGAGACGTTAGCAGACAAGGCCGGGGCTCGCTTCTGGCTAATGGAAGGTGATTCTCGGAGGTTTATTCATTTCTAAATTTCTTACAGAAAGTTCAAAAACTAAAAACAAACTTTTGGTAACAGTCTGATGATGGTTCTTCACCATACTTCGCTTCCTTTTTTTTTTGTTAGACTTGTATGGTTCAAAAGAAGGGGATTAGGACTTAGGATCTTGTCTTGTACAGTCAGTTTGCTTACATTTATCTGATTGATTCTTTTAAATAATCTAATAAAAAAATCCGGAGTTTTACTGTTCCAAGATTACAATCATCTCCTGCTGTGTAGAGGTCATTACGTTATCTGATTTGGCTTGCTGGAAAAAGTTGGTAGTGAAAACGATGTTATTCGTCAACGGCAGCTCAAACAAAAGTTGTGACACATCCCAACTATTGTTCTATACCAATGATCACAACAATTATATCAAAACATTTCCTTGATTTCTCAGCCCTTTCGCTGCTGCATCACAAAAAATTTCAATAACTTTCAAAGTTAATTCATTTTTGAAAAAAAGTATCAACACTCCCGTCATAAACAAAATAAAAGTATGTACTTGACTAAAGACTGATTGATAATGGGGGCATTGAAATGTATGCAGCAACACTCAACAGTTCAAGCCGAAGGGTGGCACAACTTCTCAATCAAGCTTGAAAAATTGGCAAGACTTAGAAGACGTTTCATCGTTCGTATCTTTCATATGTTCCTCGTGCACTCAAGAGCTGCTCTTCTAACTAATAAAACTAATTCTATCCATATATAAATGTTTTTGTTGGTTATTTTATCTGGGTTTCGTTACTAAAACATTTCGTGTTAGAATAATATAATAGTTTTTTGAAGTAAATGAGATATGTTTGATAAGCTGCGGAATGATGGATTTGCGTTTTGTTTAGCATACAAATCGAGAAACTTATTGTTGCATTTGTCTCTCGTATCCCAAATAGTAGATTTTGTGAAAATAGCAAGTAGAAAAGATTTCATATACATGGATGTGATTATTTTACAAGAAGAGAAAAATAGAATGAGACTTATACTTGACAAGCATCATTATTATCATACGAGTTGGTCACTGCCTTTCTTTTCAGCCTTTCCTTGAGCTGCTGGTTCTGGCCCATGTTTCTTTTCGATCTTACTGTCTGCGATTCTCTCTCGAGGTGTACACAAGAGTCTGCCCAGAAAATGAGAAGCAATTGCCAAGAATATGATGCCTATGACGATCAAACACCATTTCCATATTGGAACCTCCATTTTCTCTAGTTATGTTTTCGTGGTCACACCAAAAGTAAACGCAGAGCAGAAGATGAATAAGAATGCAGAAGATGCTTGAAAGTTGTTGGTACTGTTGACCAAAAGGCAGAAGTTGTGAAAAAAATGATGGGCAACGACTTGTGAAAGGTAACCAGTTTTTATAAACTTTCATAGAAGAAATTGAACTTAATATATATGACAAAAAGACAATAATATAGTTCAGTAGACCTACCAATAATACCCACAATTCGACATTGATCGATCTTGAATGCTACTTAATTAAGAGATACTTTTCGATCGTGATCCATTAGAAATGCAAGAATGGTTACAAAACTCATCAATCTTTTTTTTTTTTTTTCAAAACTCATCAATCTTGTTAATTAATAATCCTTTAAAATTGACTATATTCAAAATTCAAAACAATGGAGGATTAAAGTCTTTGGCTGAAAACAAAATTACAATTTATAAAAACAAATCGACGTTTGTCAATATCTGATTTGGTTTAAAGTTTTTGTATGTTTTGGAATTTTTATACATATGATATTTGATCTTAAATCACATATAAGTTTGTTACATATCCATAAAAAGTAACTAAGTAAAAAATAATTATTTCTTTTTCTAATTCAAAAAGAGAAAACCAATCTTTCAACTACAAAACAAACTTCTGTTTAAGTATCCTTCATTTAATCCCTAACCTTTTAAAATTGTCAGTATTAAACTTTAATTTTTGGGAAGGGAGCAAAAAAACATAACTATTATTCCCTTAGAATAAAATAATTTTTTTTTGTCCCTATAGTATAAACATTAATACAAATCCCATTTAGTCCTTACTAATTAATTTTATAATATAATTATAGTTTAAGTTAATTAGAAATTAGTTATATTAACTTTTTATTGTTTTCGACATCGAATTGGTGAAAGAGAAGCGACACCACTTCTGAAGAAGGTTCTCGAATCCGTAATCGAGGTCAGCTACATCGACACCATTCTTGAGCAAGGTGAGGAGGCGGAACGTCTTTTCACTATTAATCACAGCAACACCACTCCTTTGCCTATCGATCTGTAAAAGCTTTCTCTTCTTTTTATTAAAGTTGCTCTCTTTTGTGTCGTTTGATTGTAAATAGTTATTCTTTGAGCTCTGTTTGTTGAGATAATAGAATTGAGTGGATTTGGATTTGAAAAGTTATAAATCTTTACTTCTCCAGTGTTAAAAGAAATCGTTTTTGCACTGAAATGTTTGTTAGTTATAATAATATTTAATCAGCTTCTGTTAAATAGTTTTATCAGATGGTAAATACGATGCATGTATCTTGATCAACTGTGCTATTGTATCTTACTTAGAAGGTTGAAAGGAGAAAAAAAAAAGTCTCACTTTTGTATCTGTTCTTCCCAGCAGATTTCATTTTCGCTGTTATTGATATAATGTGCTCTGCATAAGTGCATATATTTTGTTTCAAAACTAGCGCTTGCTTAAAGCTGGAGTATTTTGGTAACATTTTTATGATTGAGGTGTGTTCAAGATATTGTTCGTTTAAAGATCAATCTTGATAGAGTTTATATCCTTTCTTTTACTACATTAGGCGCATGATTTGATTTCAGAATTTGCCCATTTCTAAGTGGGTCATTGGTATTTGCTTATGCATACTTGTTCTCCTGTATCTGTGTTCACACTGGAGGAAAACGAGAAGCTTGTGTTGACACCATTTAAGAAGATAGATGATCCAGAAATTGTGATATATGGCAGAGACGAGCTGTTCGTCTTTTGATCTCACCAAATTGTATTCACATCCTGAGTTTATGAGATACAGATGGTGTATTGTCAAACGAAGATACTACAAAAAATTTTGTTTTCAATTATGTAATAACAGTTGAACCTGTCGCAGTTCTTGGGTCTATCTGTTGGTGTTTTTTTGTTTCCATGTTTTAATCTTACTTGGGCGAAAAAGAGAGAGATGGTAGAGTGACAATTGAAACCTGGCTTTAGTTTTATTTGTTAATCATAGCATCATAAACTTGTGTCCGCAATTTGTAACCTACTTCCTTTTTCTTCATTAACAACAAATTTCTATCCATTGTTTAGGGACTATTTCCACGAATCACAGAAAGTATAGATATGCATCTTCACTGTAAGATAGATAATAGTTTAGAAGTGGAAGAACTAGAAGAAAAAGAAGTCTTGTTAACGGTGAGAAGAAGAAGACACATGTTCAAGGCAAAATATATTAAAAAGAAAATAAAAATATTTAGAGAATATTTACTTTAAGATTTTGCTAAATTTTCGGATGGTGGCTCAAAAACCGTTGGTAGTAGATACATTCTACCAAATTTACCAAATAGTTTAACTAGTAGATACGTAATCCCACGGGTCCAGATAGAACATTAAAATTAAGAAGATATGTTCTGCCAAATTAGACGCATGGGTCTTTAGTATATGTTATGTTCAAGAAAAACTCCAGAACAAAGAAGGAATGGCAGATATCATATTCTTCACTAGTAGATGTATATGTTTTTGGTGTATTACGCATTCTAAACCCTTTAGATCGATTAGTTGTTAGTAGATTGTACACTCTAAACAGCCATAGATGGTAGATCTGATTTACTACTCTATTTATCCAATTTTTGAAATTACTATTCCAAACATTTTTCGAATCTAAAAATATTTTTAATATATTCACATGCTACTCTATTTCATATTGTATATTTTTCCTCAATTTTTTGCCTTGTAAATTTATTTTTATGAATTTTTATATACAAAAAGGGTAGTGAAAGTCCAAAAGTGACAAAATTTGATTTTATTCCAAGGGGACAATAGTTGTATTTTTTGGTCCTCTTTTGGCAAATTTCCCTTAATTTTTTGACCAAACTATTTAAGAGACATCAAAATCAACCGCCAAATCGATTTAACATTAACTTTCTAGGTATGTACGTAAAAACGTTTACTCAGCAAAAGTTGAAATTTAAATTGGACAATTTTGAAAATTTAAAAAGTAAAATGGCTTAAACAAAAGTTAGAGGTTATTTTGAGTTACTTGTGTAAGTTGAGGTTTTTTTTTGTTGTTTTCTCGATTGAAAAATAACACGTTTTGGACATTACTTTGTAAAAGCCTAATAAGGTGACAAAGCAAAAAATAAAACGTGAACCAAAGGAAAAAGCAAACCATAAATAGATCTGGGAAAACCAGAAACTAAACCGAAGAGAGAATATTCTCCACAGACCGTATCCGATCCGTCTAGAGACTAGAGCCCTAATTTACATCGTTCGCACACACTCACTCACTCACTCTCTTTATAGTGTTTTCCGCCGCCGTCCTTTTCTCTCTCTCTCTCTCGCTTTACGGAAAACTCGCAGAACCTCTCGTAAGATATCTTCTTCTCCGCATTGCTTCTTATCATCTCGAAATCTTTACTCACTACGTTTACTTTGTTATCTTCTTTGGTGCTAGATCTGAACCCTCCGAGTTCGTAGCTCTCTTTTTCTTTTCCGGTCTGAGCAATGGCTTTGGTGAGTTCTCACTCTTTCTTCTACACTCGATCCTCATTGCTAAGCCTATTCCTTCCTTTGCTGAGTTTCATCGGTGGAATCTTTACTGTTTTCAGGTTCTACACACGTACAAGGGTAACAAAGGTGCCTATAAGGCACTCATCGCTGCAGAGTACGCAGGTGTCAAGATCGAGGAGGCTTCCAACTTTCAGATGGGCGTTACTAACAAGACCCCTGAGTTCCTCAAGATGAACCCCATTGGAAAGGTGGGCGTTAATCTCTTTTGATTACTCAGTTTTGATTCTTGTGGTCTCTTAGCTGATGAGAGGATATTGGTCTTGCTAGGTTCCCGTGCTTGAGACTCCAGAAGGTCCCATCTTTGAGAGCAATGCCATTACCCGATACGGTATATTTTTATTTCTGTTCTATGTGGTTCATTCCTTGTCTTGATATAATGAATGTTTTACTGTCACACTATTAGTTAGCCGTGTGAATGGTGACAACCCTCTGAATGGATCCTCCCTCATTGATTACGTAAGCTCCTGTTCATTCCCTATTTGTTTTTTTTTTTTGTTTGCATTGTTTTGTTGGTTAATTGTTTACTATTTATTAATGTCTATGTGGATGTGCTTACTTTTCAGGCTCACATTGAGCAATGGATTGATTTTGCCTCTTTGGAGATTGATGCTAACATGTTGAGGTGGTTCGCTCCAAGGATGGGCTATGCTCCTTTCTCTGCTCCAGTAAGCGCTTTTGTTTACTCTCTGTGCTTTAATTAAGCATGCTACTACTCTTTGCATCCTTAATAGTATCTAACTCTGCTTCTTCTTAAATGGTTTATATGAGTGAAGGCTGAGGAAGCGGCTATTGCTGGCTTGAAGAGAGGACTTGATGCTCTTAACACACATCTCGCCTCCAACACTTACCTTGTTGGACACTCTGTTACACTCGCTGATATTGTAACCGTCTGCAACTTGAACTTGGGATTTGCCACCGTGATGACCAAGAGCTTCACCTCTGAGTTCCCTCATGTTGAGAGATACTTCTGGACAATGGTCAACCAACCAAACTTCAAGAAGGTGATTGGTGATGCCAAGCAGACCGAAGCTGTCCCTCCAGTTCCATCTAAGAAGGCTGCGCAGCCTGCAAAGCCCAAGGAGGAGCCTAAGAAGGCTGCCCCTGCACCAGAGGCACCGAAGTTTGCTGAGGAGGAAGAAGCACCAAAGCCCAAAGCCAAGAATCCTCTTGATTTGCTACCACCAAGCCCAATGGTTCTTGATGAGTGGAAGAGGCTTTACTCCAACACCAAGTCCAACTTCCGTGAGGTTGCAATCAAAGGTATTGATATGTAGTGACTTTCTCGTTACATGCTTTCACAACCTTGCTTTACGAGATGCATGATTTTCATAGGCTTGTAGGATCAGTTAGGTAAGTACGAACATATGAAGCAGATAGACTCTCAGTAGAAACTATTTGTTGTGACATCCGTACTAACTACTCTCTCACTAACTCGCTAACTCAGTCTTCAATGTTCGGTCCTTGGCCAGATACAGTAGTCTCATAGGCTTAGCTAATAGTTTAGCTGCTGAACTTTCTCTTTACCTGCTACTGCATCCTTGCTTTATGAGATGCATATAC